ATATATATATATGTTTTGGTCATCGTACAGTCCCACTTTTATTGTCCATAAAGGGCAAAAATACAAAGAAAAAAAATAAGAACTATATGTGTATAGCGCTGATGCCACTGAACATCTCGAGTGGTTGAAAGTAAAATAAATATTCAGGAATAATACTTTTACAATTTTTGTAAAATTGTACATTGCATTTATAAACTTATTTTCATCGACTGCAGCACAAGGGATTAAAGCAGCAGTTGTGTGACAAAATATTTTTTTCACTGTTGTTGATGGACAGTAATAATGTGTGAGAGATTATGTGTGAATAACTGCTCCAAGTGAAAAATGTTCATGTAAAATTGAAAATTGAAATTATTTCAGTAAATATTTGCATTTTGCACAGAGAAAACTGATTCATGATTCCATGTTGATGAGAGCATTAAAATGGGGAAAAATAGGACAAAAAAATCAATGAAAATTCAGAAACTATAAAAAATGCGTGACTAATCACGATAAATTTTAGTTAATTTGAGTTAATGATGACAGTTGCGTTTTTAATTAGATTAAATATTTTAATCGTTTGACAGTTCTAATATATATATATAATTGTGTTAATTCTAGAGAGAGCGAGAGAGAGAGAGAGATTTATGTATGTTAAATTATACTTATTCCTGTGTTCCAGCTTTCCAATAAATTTCAAATGACCTCACTGAAACACCTTGGCTGTTTTTTGGAAGACAATTAACTGTTAATTGGCTGGCAAGCTACACACAATTTAATGTGCTTCAGCACAGTAAAAAGACAAAGTCCGAGGATTGTCGTACCCCTCCCGAATACCCAGAGGACAGCCAAATGGCTGTGTTGTCTAAAACCAACATCTGGCTGGAACACCAGCACACATTCTAATATCGAGTCTGCATTCAGGAAAAATGTATCAGATGGTTAACGTGCCGAACAAAGCTTTTGAAGATAAACTGCTACTGGAGGAAAATAAAACCATTTGTGGCCCTTGTTTACATTGCCACATGCTCGCAGCCTCTGGCATGAAATCCTAATATGTGGCCCGTCAGTGCTGTTAACCACAGTAGAAAATCTCACATGTACAAAAAAATTGATTAGATATTTCACCAGAAGATTGCAGCAAACCCATGGCCACGCTCTAATGTACATTCGGAAACATGCAAATGACCACAAGGTGCCTGGGAAAGAATGCCATGGGAAAAGAAAACAACTGGAAGCTGAGTGGTTGATTGAGACGATTTCACTTCAGCAAATCTGGTCGTCTTTGCAAAATGTTTTGACACCCATTGAGCATCCACTCGGCCTTCTCAACGATATATCGATAGCCTCTTCTACCTCAATATCATACACCCAAGCTAAGGCAGCCAAAGCAGCTTCAGCATACGCTGAAAGCGAGGCAGACAAAAGACAAAACTGGAAGCTAGCGAATAAAAACTGGTTCTGATTTCAAATTCCATTCTTAAAAAGGCAAAAGGTCATTGCTGCAGCTGCTACGGAAGCAGCCCTTTTTGAGGAAGCTGAATATCCTTTGATCTTCCTGTCCACACAGTAACATTTACATTTTATCTTCAGAAATGTGTACCTTTCACAAGCGATAATTTTTTTTTTCAGAAGTAGATTAGCAAACATGATATCATCTTGCATTCCAAAAACATCGCTTTCTTTTTTTCATCTTTGCTCTCAGGATGAACCCACCAGTGGCATGGACGCAAAGGCAAAAAGGTTCATGTGGGACTGTTTCCGCAACTTCACCAAAAAGGGAAGAGCTGTCGTTCTGACCTCCCACAGGTAAAGAGGGACATGGGCATATCCATCAACATCATCAAACGTCATGAGACCACCACTATGATCAAGCAGTCATTTCATGTGACATGTTCAGTGGATGTATAATAAAAATGTGATTGTTTTTATGTTTCAATGTGTGATCAGTATGGAGGAATGTGAGGCTCTCTGCTCCAGAATGGCCATCATGGTCAATGGTACGTTTAGATGTCTTGGCTCTGTGCAGCACTTGAAGAACAGGTAACTACAATCACCTGTGTGAATAAAATACAGCTAATATGTCTCAACCCCCCCCCCCCCACACACACACACACAAAAATGCCCACATGGCCTGACCCCCCAACCCGGTTCCTAATTAGGTCATCTCATTTTACCCTCTGGCCTACCCCCGCCCCCACACACGCACACACCATCAACAAAAATTCTCCTGATATGAGGAGATTCATTGTGGTTCAGTGGTACCTCTACTTACGAACGTCTCTTCATATGAAATTTTCAATTTACGAAATGCCTCAAGAGGAAAATATTGGCTCTTGGTCCAAAAGAAATTTCAAGATACGAAAGGTAAAAATACAGGATGGGCTGCTGCTCTCAGCTCAGTTTCTGGAACGCAACATAATTATAGATGCTCTGCCTTTGGCCATTACCAAGCATCATCCTGGGATCCCATTGGCTAAGAGGGACTTCGACCATATGTGTCGAGGCAGCGTCCTCGTCATTTCGCTCCTCAGGCCATGAGGCGTTCCGATAATTCTACGTACATGCGACTCACCCAGAAAAAGTCTTAACCAGTCGGGCGATAGCTCACTTTGCTTTGAAGGATTGTTAAAAGCCAACAAAAGCAAACATCCGTGGATCAGTTCTTAATTTATGCACAACTCTCATTTATTGTGCATTAATCTATTTGTAAGATGCATTTGTTACATATTTTGATGCATTTTTATGCTTTAGAAAACATTTATGTTTGAATTTTGGGGGGGCTTAGAACTGATTAGGGTATTTACATGGAAAGCGCGTCTGTAGTGAAATTTCTTCCAGAACCAATTAATGTTGTAAGTAGAGGTACCACTGTACTTGGTTGGTGATTACAGGAAGATACCTTAAGATCTCCAAACGGCAGTATTTTGTTCTGTTTAGTGGTCTACATAGTGGCAAGAAGAAATTTCTTATTTTACATTTTAATTAATGTACTACACCAAGCCTATGGAACGAATCTAAATGAAAATTTCTCACAAAAGCCTCAATACTTTGATCATACTCTCGTCCAAATATTGTGATTTTTTTGACAGTGTGTGTAGCCATTATGGTCTTGCTTAAATTGAATAGTCACCGTGAAGTTTCTGTAACTAGACTCAGGTGATCATATCTTCTCAAAGATTCTGAGATTTGATGATAGTCCAGACCTGATGACATCTACGAAGTTAGTCCTCATCAAGGTGGTAGCGCCTCCTTGAGGAAATAGATATTTTCTTTGTTAATGTTCTACTCCTTGCGAGTTTAATAAGTGTATCTCATATTTGCTTTGATGAGTGGTTATACCTTCATGATGATAAAACACATATTTGTGACATTTCCTGAAATGCCATTGCCTTGGCAATACACAGTTTGTCAGTTAAACAACATTGACTGACACCACGCCTGTCAAAATTCTCAATATTTGCGATGTATATTGTGCGATTAAAAAAAAATAAAAATCTCAATGGCACCCACGACAACATTTTAACGACCCAGTCCCAGTTGTGTGTTTCGGAAATTTGGTGGTATATATATATATATATATATATATATATATATATATATATATATAAAACAGTCCAATCCCTACAAAAAAGTCTCTTGCTGAAGCTAACATGAGGGCCGCAATTTTGAATTACTTTAAATCTGGTACAATTTTTGGGCTTTTTAATGTGAATTCATGTCATCTTTCTGCAAAAAAAAAAAGCTACAAGTCACCTTATTTTGCAAATGAAACAGATTTGGTGAGGGCTACACCATTGCCCTTCGTCTGGCAGAGAGTGAATCCACTCCAGACATGTGCCCTGTCAACAGCTATATGAAGAACTGCTTTCCAATGATCGATCTGAAGGAATGTCACCAAACCGTGCTCACGTACCAACTGCCAGAGCACGCCTGCAGCCTGGCTAAAATTTTTAAGGTGCTTGCCAATCATGAGGCACTAGGCATCAGCGCATTCTCTATTTCACAGACCAACATGGACCAGGTGAGAACAAGACTGAAGCAAACTGAGAATTTGGTGTTAAGACAACATATGTGTATGAATGTGTTACAAGTTGAGAACAGTAAACCATCAATCCACCCATTATCTGATCTACTTATCGTCAAGAGCAGGGGTGTCAAAGTCAAATGGATGGAGGGCCAGATAAAAAATTTTGCTGCAAGCCGAGGGCCGGACTGATCGAATGTTCATTGAAAATTTTAAAAATGACCACATATTGTTTATTGAACCAAAATTAATTGACTGAAAACCTAACAAATGCATTCCAATATGGTCAGATAAATAAAGCAACATTTTTGTATGGCTATGTCAGTAAACTTTAATTTTCAACAGGCACAAAAAAAATTTCCTTTGTATAAAAACACC